TGTTCTCTCTTTGTATTATACTGTTTTCTTGGGGACTCAAGTTGCCATTTGTTGGCTTTTTCTGTTCATCATTAGCTTTGGAACCTAGCTATTGCATGTGAGATTTCCTCTGGGCATTGTTTCTTCCCCATTCACCAGTCAGCATCCTCACCTGTCTGGGCAAAACACTGTCTCATGGGAGGTTGTGAGGCTTCTGACCAGTTGTCTTACTTCCTGATACATGTTTGTGGTCTCACCAGGCTTGGTATTGTCCAGGCACTGGCACAGTTCTTGTAGGAAGTCAGCCTTTGTTGGTCCAGGCAGGTCCTAGCAGTGGCCTATAGAAGGTTGTGAGGCTCTTACTGGTATGGGCAGGTGCTGGTTAGTTCCCATAGGAAGGCAGGAGGTTTCTACTGGTCTGATTGCAAGCTGGTAGTATCCCTTTAGGCATCTGGTTGCTTTGGTACCCTACCCATCAAGGGTATAGTGCCTCACCAGTCCTCACCAGTGGGTTCTCGTGGAAGTTGTGAGACCTCTGTTGACCCACTTGAGGACTGGCATAGTTGCATGAAGGTTGTAAGGTGTCTGGTTGCTCTGGCTTCCTCCCCAATGGGAGTCCAGAGTCACCAGTCCAGGTAAAGCCTGTGGTGGTATCACAAAAAATCACAAGACCTTTGCTGTTCTGTGTGGGGGTGACAGGGCCCTGTAAAAGGCCACAGGGTTCCGGCTGCTCTGGTTCCCTTTTGAATAGGGTCTGGAGACTTTTCATATGCCTTTTCTTTTTATTTTTTCTTAATGTGGTGAATTACATTTATTGATTTTCAAATGTTAAACCACCCTTGTGTTTCTAGAATAAATTCTACTTGGTCAAGGTGTGTAATTCTTCTGATACTTTATTGGATTCAGTTTGCTAACATATTATTGTCGATTTTAGCATTCATGTTAATTAGGGGGATTTGCCTATAGTTTCTTTTGAGTATGTGTTGTGATTTTTGGTTATGGTATTAGGGTGATACTGATCTGATAAAATATATTTGGAATTATTTCCAATTTCTCAACTTTTTGAAAATGACTTAACAGAATAGGTACTCTTTCATCTTTGAATATTTGGTAGAACTCATTTATGAAATTGCCTAGTCTTGGGGATTTTGTTTTTATAAATGTTTTGATTATTGTTTCCTTTTGTTTGCTTGTAATTGAATATTCAAGTTTTCTGTTTCTTCTTTATTCAGTACTGGCTGATTGTATAATTTAAAGGAATTATCCATCTCATCTAGATTATTGAATTTGTTAGCATATAGTGTTAATAGTAATTTCTAATTATCCTTTGGATTTCTGCTGCCTTTTGTAATTTCTCCTCTTTTATTTCTGATCCTATTTTGTTGCCTCCCTCCTTTTTTTTTTTTGAGTCCAGCTAGAGGCTTATCTATTTTATTTTTACTAAGAATCAGCTTTTGGTTTCATTGATCTTTTGGACTATCTTTTTTTTAAAATTCCTATTTAATTTTTTTCTTTCTTCTTTAATTTTATTTCTATTTGATGACATTGGAGGTTTTTTGTTCTTCATTTTCAAGTTCTTAAGATGGGAGATTAGGTTGTACCTTTGTATTCTTCTTTGTTTCTTGGTGTGGATCTGTATTGCTATAAATGTCCCACTTTATATTTTCCTTTCTCTATCCTCATTATCCTGATGTTTGTGTCCTCATTATCATTTATTTTAATGTATTTCTTAAATTTATTCTTTGATTTTTTTATTAACTCACTTGTGTTTCTGACATGTTCTTTTCTGTTTCCATGTAATGGAGATCTCCTTGCTTTCTTTTTGTAGTTGATTTTTAGATTGATACCTTTATGGTCAGAGAAAATACTTGGTATTATTTTGATCATCATGTACTTGTTGATATTTCCTTGTGGACCATTATGTGGTCAATCCTAGAGAATGAATGATGTGCACTTGAAAAAAATATGTATTTGGTTTTTGGGGGAGTGGTTGTCCTATAAATGTGCACCTGTTCCATGTATCTAGATCTTTGTTTAGAGGAAATTTTGTCTTGCTTATTTTGCTCTTGTTTATTTGTCTCACTGACCTGTTCTTTGGTGAGAGTGGGATATTAGTGACATACCATATACATGTTTTCTCCAGTGATGATAATAATTGTATAATGTATTTTGGTGTTACCTCTTCTGGCAAGTATATATTTATGAGTGTCTTCCTGTTGTATTTTCCCCTTCATCATTATATAGTGTCCATTCAAGTCTTTTGTCACCTTCTTAGGTAGGTAGAAGCCTGTTTTTATTGATATAAGTGTGCCTGTACCTGCCTTCTTTTGGGTGCCATTTTCTTATAAAATTGTTTTCCAACATTTTATTTCAATCTATGTTTATCAGTGGAACTTAGATTTATTTCCTGGGGTAATAGAAGGTTGTATTTATTTCCTGAGTCAATGTGATAATGTGTTTCATTTTTTATTTTAGTTCAGGTGGTTACTGATAAGTGGAAGTCTCTAATTACCATTATATTCAATATTTTGTGGTTCTATTCAATTCCTGTTAATTTCCTTTTGTTCAATCCTCTTGGTTTAGATCATAGGGCACCTTGTAATACTTGTAAGGACCTTGTGATACTACAAGGTAAGGCACCTTGGAGTGGGGGTTTAGTAGTAGTAGCAAATTCCCAAAAACTATGTTTGTTTGAGAAGGTCCTTACTTCTCTGTGTTATAGGAAGGAGATCCTTATATAGTATAAAATATTCTTGGCTGTTATTTTTTTTCCTTTCAAGGTTTTTTAATATGTCACTTCATTCTGTTCTTGTCCATGCTGTTTCTTCAGAGAAGTCTGATGTTAACCTCACTGGTGTTCCTTTATAGGCTATCTATTTCTCCCCCTCTCACCTCGGTTGTTTTTTTTTTTTTTTTTTTTTTTTTTTTTTACTTTTGGAGGTTTTACTCCTATGTATCTTGATGTAGACTTCTTTTAAAAAAAAAGATCTTTGTGACTCTTGTTAGCTTCCTGTATGTCTATTATGTAAATTTCCTTCTTCAAATTTGGTAAATTTTCTTCAATTATTTCCTTAAATAATTTTTATGCTCACTTTTTTTCTCTTCTTCTGGCATTCCAATGACTCATACTTTGTTTCATCACATTGTAACATATTTTTGGAGTTTTCCTTCATTTTTTATTGTATCTCTCCTTTTTAGGTTGGTTCTTTATGTATGTGCATCTTTGCAATTATTGTTTCATGCTCCTATATTGTCTATTATATTTCCATGGCTTTTAAAATATTTTTTAATCTTCTTTGTTGATTTTCTTACATCCCACAATTCAGTTATTTCAATTTTGTTGGTTGTTTCTCTTAACATTCTTTTCATTTTTTACATCTGTACATCTCTGATTTGTTTTTCTGAGTTTTCTTTGTGCTGATCTAATGCTTTGATTTTCTATTTTTTTAAAAGATTTATTTATTTATACATTCAGAACTGGGGTACAGGGAGAGGTACAGGGGTGGTGAAAGGATTCCCTGGTGATGGAGTGGGGAGCAGAATAGGCTGACCAATGAAGTACACTGCTGAGGGGAGCAGCAGGCAGGCCAGAAGAGGTCTGTTGTGCCAGGTGGGTCACCTCCATAGTGGGGATAGAACTCATGCAGAATTCGTTTTAGCTTCTTAGAGCTGTGCTTTAACCTGCTGTGCCACCAGGGAGGGCCCTGATTTTCTATTTAATAAAAAAAATGATTTTTTCACCTGGCAAGAAGAAAAAAAATTCCATGTCAGTGTTGTTGAGTTGTAGAGACTGGTTTTCTTTCTGTATATTGTTTCACTGATAGCTTTCTTGACCATTTGTACTGTTCTTTCTTCCCATTGTTTGCTTTTGAGTGTGCTCTGCTATAATGGGGCTTCTGTTGAGTATGGGTCTCCCTTTCCTACTATTCTTGATTTTTACCTGGTAGTGGCTATAATTGGTGACTTCATAATAAGGTCCAGGTGATTGGTGTTTTAGGTAGTCCAGGCTGGCAGACTCCATCATCTTTTCCCTTGGTGCAGGTTATCTAGAAGAGCGGCAGGCTTTGCTGAGGGTTTGCTTTTGTCATTTTATTTTAATCATGATTTTATGAGCTGTTATTTTTGTAACTAGAAAAATTCTGTCAGACCTGTGCTTAGGGATCTGAGAAAGCAAATAAGCAAATGAGTCTCTGAACAGGAATTTATGGAAGATATGTCTACTTTTGTAAAAGTTTTTCATTGAACTTTACGTTGTTCAGTCAGTTATTATCAAAATATTGGTGAGAAGATAAATTGATTTAAGTCATGAAGTAAAGCATAAACTAGATGTTCATTTCATTTGGATAACTTTATGAAAGGTCACTTAAATAATATACATGACAGGTAGATGATGGCATTGTGAAGTAAGGACAAGAAAAATGCAGAGTAATGAAATTATGATGCAACTTCACAAATTTTAATATTTATGAAGACAGAGTAAGAAATACATTCTTCAACTATGCATGCCAAGGACAGTGATAGGGAGTGTCATTTGTAGGAGAGGAAAAAATGATCATGGAGTTTATAAAGAGAAAATAAAATATACAGGGGTAAGTAGTGTGTGTAAAAACACTGAGAGGAAGAGCTTGCTTTTGAAAATTATTTTCCACAGCAAAGAAAAATAAAAACATACTAAGTACTTCCAATAAGATATCAGGTTTGAAAATGGAAGCACAATATGATTCTTAGAAAAACTAAGTAAGTTATTTGTTGGTTAGCTGTAACATAAATTAGGTCTCATTCTTTACCCAACTTGAGGCATTTCTTACTCTCATGCCTCTTCCCAGCCTGTCCCCTGCCAGCCTTGTCTTCCTTCCCACCAGGCCAGGCAAAGTTATATTCATGCTGCCTGGTTCTTCTATTTTAAGATGCATGTATATGCACCTATTTCTAATCTAGTAATATGAAAGTAAAGAATAATAATATAACAGTAAAGAAGCACCAAAGTTATGTCTGACTAAAAAGGAAGAAATGGGACTTACAGGAGCTGCCGAATTTTTGACTGTGACACTGGGGGTGGTAGCTCGTAGGGCTCCACTTACTCCATGGTAGTATTTGAAGCAGATCTTAGTTTCAGCTGAAAGATAAAAGTAAAATGGCATTGAGAAGTAGGGTATATCATAGTGTGACATTTTAGAGCCAAAGAGGACACTTTCAAAGATTGTACCCAAAATCCTCTTGTGATCCATGGAGGTCCCACCTGACAGATTTTCAACATGCAGTTCTCTGAACAGTTCTGACTTCTTTCTAAAGCCCCATTATAAAAATATTTTGGTGCCCATGCCAAATCCATTATTACACTTCCAAGCACCTTAGAGGCTAATACTTCTAAACCCCTTGTTCTAATATTTTAGATGGTTTGATTTCTTTTGTAATTTTCTGCTATATGTGAGTAATATCTTGGTAAACTTGGAGAAAGATTTTTCAAAGTCACTGACATACATATTTTAAAGTTGATTTATTTATGTATACAAGAATTGTTGTATAGGCCATAGGTGTGAAGGGATGAGAGAATTCACTAGAGACATAAGGGGGAGTAGAACAGATGGGTCTATTGAAATACATTGCTGAATGGAGCAGTGGGAGAGACAGAAGAAATCTGCTGTGCCTTAAGTAGGTCAGCTCCCTGGCCGGGAATTGAACTCATGCTGCAGTGACTGTGCCTAGCTTCATAAAGCTGTGCTTTAACCCCTCTCCATTAATAACCAACCTGTGAGACAAAATGTAAATCATTTCCCCTTTCTGTGACCCATCCTTTCTTTCTTAATGGTAGAATCTCCATTTTATTTTGGATGGTAATGCACAAAGTAATGTATTTTACATCCTCCATGTTCTTGGTATAATATAAATTTGTTTCTAGATATGATTAGCTGGACTGTTTTGTTTTCTTGTCAATTAATAGATGAGGATTTTCTTCTTTTTAAAATATTTTAAAAGTTTATAAATTTATTTTTTCTCCATCACTATCTCTTAGGTACACTTATTCCTTTCCCTCTTAATCTCAGAACCCTCAGGATTTTTATTGACATCTACTGGTTTTTGAAAAGTGCATTACATTATAAGATAATCTGGTATGTAAATATTTATATTTATCTTTTAGCCATGACTTATTCTGCTACACATAATGAATGCTCTCTATTTCCCTCCATTGTGTTGAAAATGAAAGCATTTCATACTTTCTTATGGCTATCTAATGCTTCGTGGTCGATACCAGCTCTATTTGATCTATTCATCCATCAAGTAGACATTGAGGCTGATTCCATGTGCTAGCTATTATAAATAATGCTGCTATGAATGTTGTGAAATATAATGATTTTTGTGTTGATAGTTTCATATTTTTTGGGTGTATGCCCAAGAATGGGATTGTGGGTCCTATGGTATTTTTAGATTTTTTAAGGTTTAAAGCAATTCAGATTGCTTTCCATGATATTTACATGTGTTTACATTCTCACCAAAGGTGTAATAAGAGTTTTTTTTTTCCTATCACATTATCCCACTACTTGTTGTTTTTTTAACATGTGCCATTCTTGCAGCTGTGAGGTGGTAGCTCATTGTAGATTTGACCTATATTTCTCTTATTAGAAGTGACAATGACCATTTTTCACAACCTTTGGCTTACTGAGTATCTTTTATGGGGAACTGTTTATTAATAGCTGCTGCCCATCTGTTTCTCTCTTATTTTATCTTGAATGAGGTGACAGAGGAATCTGGGGGATAAATACTAATTTTAGTTGAAGAAGTGGAGTTGATTTCCTCTACCTACTCTCATCCCACAGCAAACTATATTCTGGACTTTATCTAAACTTCCCATCCTACCTCCCTACTGCAATGGATCATGATCTATGAACTCTGATATTCCTGGTGGGAGGAACTAGATATGTAGTCACAGCCACATGTTCTGGGTCTAATTTTCACTTGTCCAAATGGTGGCTTTGTGGTTTCATGGGTGCATGTGGGTGTACATGTGCTGTCTTATCATAGTGGCCATTGTTGTTCCACCCCTGCCTCTTACGCAACTTCTGCAGGACTGTAAAATCTACAGACTTACCAAAGATGTGTGAGTTATTTCACAGATCCTTCTCTCTGATGTTGGGCTTAGTCTGACTTCTCTTTGATCTCTTTCAAGAGAAGGCACATGGACTAACTTTGGAATATCCAATGTCTTGGGGCTGTACCTGCACAGCTCTCACTGTCCCAGATAAGGTCTGCTTTGCCCACTTTTATGTCAGCAGGGTTCCTTTAGGGGATTTCACAAAGTCTTGGATTTCCCCATCATGGCTTACGTGACTCCAGCCCAGTCACACTTCCTTTTACTTCCTCCCACAACTTCCTCTCAACCTTAGTTCAAGATCTCTGTGAGGAAGTTTTGGGAGAGAGTAATACAAACCTCTTTATTCTACCATGTTGTGAGCAGAGTCAATATGATATTATTTAAAGAAAGTCCTAAAGACTCCATCTAAAAGTTGTTAGAAATAATACATGATACAGCAAAGAGGCAGATTACAATATCAATATAAAATACCCCATAGCCTTTTTATAAACAATAAGTGTAAAACAAATTAAGGTAATCACTCCATTTCTAAGAGCTTCAAAAATAATTAAAAGACCAGAATCAACTGAAGGTGTTTAATGACCTATACAATCTGAAATATAAGATGTTACTAAAGGACTTGGCAACATAAGTATAAGAATACCCCATGTTTATTAATTAGGAGAATAAATATAATCAAAATGACTAACCAGCCTAAATGATATATACATTTTTTTTTTTTTTTGGAAGGAACTCAACACTTCAACCCAGTGTTGGGAGCAGAACAGGTCGACTGACGAAGTACACTGCTGAGGGAAGCAGTGGGCGGATCAGGAGAGGTCTGCCACGCCACGTGGGTCACTTCCCAGGCGGGGATCAAACTCATGCTGAAGTGGCCTGAGCTTCTTAGTGCTGTGCTTTAACCTGCTGCACCACCAGGGAGGGCCCAATGATAAATACATTTAACAGAAACTCCCAGCAATATTGCTTAAACTTCAGCAAGAACACTATGAGTTAACAAAACACTGAGGAAGAGAAAGAAATGGATGGAACCTAGTTAAATAGTTAAATGCTGGAGAGCAGACACTGTTTTATAAAGGATTTAAAACAGGGAATTAATTAAAACTCCAATGGTAGCCACCAAAAATAATCCATAGTAAATACTCAAAGTTGAAGGAAGAAAGAAATTGATAGAAATACTAAGGAAAGTCATCCAGAAGAGCAGAAAGAAACCACAGAAAAACAAAATAATAAGTCAAAAAACAAAGTAAGTGGTAAACAGTTTATATCAATCATCACATGAAATGTGAAAGGTCTGAATTCAACAACAAAAAGACATAACATGGAGGAGGGGGAGTTTTAGTTATTGATGCTTTGTTCACAAAGGATCCACTAAATACGAAAGATAAGCCACTAAATAAAATAAAAGATTTGAATAACATTTACACATTGTAATATTCAAAGAGAAAAGGAGGAAATATTTTCCCCCATATCAGAAAATCTAGACTTTCATAATTAGGGGGAAAGTTGTTAACTATATGATGAACAAACAACAAGAGCATACATCTGCCATTACTATTTATGCACTTCATTAGGAACACCTATTAACATAAAGCAATTACGTATTATAACCATATTTGTTTTGACAGACATGCAACATTGTCAGAGTCCTCAACATACCACTGGCATGAAAGCTAGATCATCTAGACAGAAAATGAATTAGGAAATAAATTCCTTAACTGAAGTACTAGGATTGATGGATTTATTGGATATTTTTGGAGCTTTCCATCCCAAGAGGAATAAATATACTCTTCAGTGCACATGGAAAATTTTCAAGATTGGATACTATGTTAGGACAGAAAATATACCTCAGAAAATAAAAATTATATCAAGCATGGTCACAGATCACAATGCTATAAAACACAAAATGAACCAGAAACAAAACCAGTGGAGAGTAAACAAGATGTTTCTGAACAACTCCAACAACAACAAATAAATAAAAAAGGAGAGATTAATGAAAATGGAAGGAAAAAATCTAAAAGCAGTATTATGTGGGAACTTCATAACAATACAGACCCAAATTAAAATAAAAATCTCAAGTTAATAATCTAATTCTCAGACTGGAGGCACTAGAAAAGAACCAAAGTATCCAAACAAATAGAGGGAAGAATAATGTTGACCTACCCAGAATAAATGAAATAGAAAACAGGCCCTCCCTGGTGGCGCAGCGGGTTAAAGCACAGCACTGAGAAAATAAAGCCACTTACACATGAGTTTGATTCCCGCCTGCCCTGGAGGTGACCACATGGCATGGCAGACCTCTCCTGACCCGCCCACTGCTCCTCTCAGCAGTGTACTTCGTCTCTGGTGCTCCCCACTCTGTCTCTGGTGAAGCCCCTGAGCCTCTGGCCTGTACCCCCAGTTCTGTATAAACAGATAAATAAAACTTAAAAAACAAATGAAACAGAAAACAAAGAACAACCCAAAAGTTCAGTGAAATAAAAAAATAATTATTTGAAAATATAAACAAAATAGATAAGCTGTAAGGTAGGGCTTATGAAGAAGAAACCCCAAGTAATAGAATCAGAAATGAAAGTGGTGAAATATATGCTATCATAAGAACATTTTACAGAAGTCTCTATGCAAACCGATTGGAGACCAAGAAGAAATGGACTTTTTTTTTAGACTCATATAACCTTCCCTTTGAAATAGAGTAAACTAGCTTCAGTAGCCCAATCACAAGGACTGAATTTGAAAGGCAACAAAAGGCCAGGACCAGTTGGTTTCTCCAGTGAATTCTATCACGATCTGCCAATAGTGATATTTGTACTTCTTTTTTAACTTGGAAACCCTTTAAGACTAAATTGAGCAGAAATGGTGACCATGGGCATCCTTGCCTTCTTTCCAGTTTTATGGGGAAGGATTTTAGTGTTTTAGCATGAAGTAATAATATTTATATTTATTAAATTGATTTATGCCCCTACTGTTGCCATTTGTTTAGAGATTTTTTTTTTTAATCACAAGTGGGTGCTGAATCTTTCCAAATG